TCACTTTGAGGTACGATATCTATATCAGTAAGATCAATTCCATGCGATATAATTAAATCTAGCGTATGATTAAAATGATGAGTGGGCCTGGTGACGTTTTGCTTGACTCCAAAAGAGTTTATTAGGTCAGTAAACGCAAGTCCTAATGCATCAAACAGTCTTGGTTCTTCCACTGTATGGGGAAAAAAAAACCTCTGAGACATTTCTCAAGATATCTTCTTTTACGTTCTACAGAAGATATAAACAGCAAAGGTTTGGAATGACATGAAGGTAAAGTAAATGATGGCAGAATTTTCATTTTTGGGTGAACTATCCCTTTAATTGCAGTTGTTAATATGACAAATAATGGAGCCCAGGAGAAATGAAAACTCTCAAATTGGTTATAAGATTTGCAAACTATTGCAAAATATTGCATGGACATGTTGAGATGAGCTCACTTTAAAAGTCATAGCAACACTGTTTAAAGGTCATTTTAATGGAAGAGAAGGTTACAATTTCACAATAAAATACTGTTAATTGGCTAACTCTAAGTTACCATACAGTGAAAAAAATGTTAACACTTTACAATACAAGACAAGAGAGAACAGTGTGTGTGTGTGTGTTGAATCAATCAGTCAGTCATATTTTATTTATATAGCCCTTTTCCTACCAGATCAACGCAGTTCAAAGTGCTTTACAGGCAAAAAAATAGTGACTGACACTAGGTTTAAAAATAAACTAAATGAGATGCATGCGATGATGCGTAGTATATAACAGTAACACTGAAATGTTACAAAGTATAAAGTGCTACAAATTATGTTGTTGAATGCTTCTGTTTTAGACTCAGTCATAAATGACAGTGTTTGTTTTATTTATATGTAGTTAATACTGCTCTGAGTGCAAAAAAACATGCAAAAAAAGGGCCTCTAACACTAGCTTGCTCTATTCTTTTTCTATTCTATCTGTTTTCTTTTTATTTATTATATAATAAAAAATAAAAAAAACTTGCTACGTGTACTGTGTTAAGCTAACTGAGACTTGTTATAGCACTTGCATATCATTGCTCTCTTGTTGATTTTGATTGCTTACATTTACTTCATTTGTAAGTAGCTTTGGATAAAAGCATCTGCTAAATGACTAAATGCAAATCTAAATGTACAATTCGTTAACATTATTCAGTGCATTAGGAATCATGAATTAACTATACTTCTTTACAGATTTATTAATCTAGGTTCATGTTATTTTATACTATTGGTCATTGTTAAGCATATTTGTACATAAAAAATAGATGTTGTTTTAATTTAACTTTAATGTAATGTTATTTATCTTGAAATGTTAAAAATGTACCAGTATATACAGAAATTAATGTTAAAAGATTAGTTATGAAAGAAAAGAGGACCTTGGGTTTAAAAGATGGCTGATTGTTTGCTGATTGTGTCACTTAAGAAATAGTTTACCCAAAAAAATTATATCGTGATTTAATCACCCTCATGTCGTTTCAAACCTGTAGGACCTTCTCAAAATATCTTCTTTTACGTTCCACAGAAGAAGTAAAGCACAGGTTTGGAATGACATGAAGGTGAGTAAATGTAAAGATGACAGAACTTTCATTATGGGTGAACTATCCATTTAATTGTAGTTGTTAAAATAGCAGACACGAATCAGGTCAGTTCATGGAGCCCAGAAGTACTGAAAACTCTCAAATTGATTATTGGATTGCAAAGTATTGCAAAATACTGCTTGGACATGTTGAGATAAGCTCACTTTAAAAGTCTAGCAACACTGTTCAAATGTCATTTTAATGGAAGAGGTTAAAATTTCACAATAAAATCCTGCTAATAGGCTAACTCTATCTCAAATTTATTATAGGATTGTGAAATATTGCTAAATCAATGTTAGCTTGACATTACTGAGTGCAGAAAGGCAGGCTCTCCAAACTCCAAGGGGATTTTGGTTTTATATAATCCAGGTGTTTTTCCGTGACAGTTAAACTATTCCCCCACACAGCCGGAGGGGTTGAGCATAGGGCCTATGCAAATCCGGTTGTGGATCTGCCAAGAGACTTGCCTACCAACCTTCTAATTATTCTTGACAACACATAAAAACATATACACACACACACTCAACAGCCTCCTTCTCACAATGAAATCACATAATGGGCCGAACTCTGTTAATTGCCTTTAGCAAACTGTAGAAAAGCATGAGATCTTATGAAACCTCTTTACGGCTCTTCTAATGCCAGCCTGATTGTTTACAAATGCTCTTTAAGCTATTCTGACGACACTTGAGTTAGTAATTGCTTCCCAAGAGGCATTACATATTATAGCAATAAGTGAAACCACACAAGAGAACTAGACCTGCTCTCTGTTACTTTAAGTGTCAACTAGGTTGTCTGTAAGCCAGCCCCTCCATGTGCTCTCTGCAATTTCAGTCAACACCTCTCTCGGTTTGGAGACGTGTTTTTAAACAGATCGGCCATTGTTGGATTGGGGGCCACATACAGCAAACTACTTGATCCAAACTACCAGGTCTTAAACAAAAGTCCCTATCATCTGTTTAAGTGGAATTTAAGTGTAACGACTTGTCCTGACATGTAAATCATTTTACAAAGGTATCACATTGTGCTACACCTTAATTGTTTTTGATCTGTTGTGTAAAATGTAATGTATAGCCAGCTTGTCATTGTTATTGTTAAATAAACTGTGGTGAAGACAACTGGCTGCAACATATCCTGCCAGATGTTACTAAATACCTACATACATGGACATAAAATATAGATTTATTCTGAAATTATTTCATAAACATACTGATTAACAGATTGGTTTAAAGAATCCACTGAGTAAAACAGTCCATGTAGAAATTGGCCTTGCAAAGAGACAAACACTGCAGTAATATTATAATTTTCAACAGGCTAGTTAACTCAAATATATAGCTACAATGTAACCTTTCTTCCTCTATTTTAAGTCATCTCTCATCTCTTTTCGTCTCTTACTGGTTTGTGTCAGGGCTCTGCCCTGGCAGCTTTGTCTGTGTTGTCGTTATTTAATGTTTCTTTGTTTGTCTTGTGTTTGCACACATTGTTTTGTCTTCGTTTATGCTTGCCATGTGTTCCTGTGGTCCCACCTCCTTGTTTCCCTTGGTCACACCCACTTGTTTAGGCCTTGTCTTGTCCTCGTTTCTGTAATTGGGCTCACCTGTCCCTCGTGTACTTTCCTCCCTTTATATTGTGCTGTTTTTCCTCTTGTGGTTGCTGGTTCGTCTTGTGCCATAGAGACAGTTACTGACTTGCTGCTCTATATTCCAGTCTTACCCTGCTATTGTGTATCCTTGTTGTAGTTTTTGCTCTTGATTATTCAGTCTCCTGATTTTGGTTTTGTTCTTTAGTATCTTGCTTTAATTTACTTGTAACATCTTATTTAGTTGTTCATTAATCTTGTTCCTACTCCTGAGCTGTTTAGATTTTACTTTAGTAGTTTTTTTTTTAGTCTAAACCTAGATATTTACATTACGTTTTTGTTTAGTTTTACTTTTATTTTATTTTCCCCCCTTTTGTACATAATGTTGTTTCTCTGTGTTGCGCTGAGTTGGTGTTTTGTGTTTTCCCTCCAGTCCTGCTCTTCCAGTCTGAGACTCCCTGCCTGTTGGTTCCCCAAGGTGGGCCGCCAACCAAGCCTGGTGCTGAGAACCGAATCTCTGATGCTGCCTGCTTTGAGTCCCTTCACTCTGCTTGCATGCTCTGCTATTCTCTGCTCTGGGTTTCTCCCTATCTTTCCGCCCCGATTTGACCAACGACTGAGACTGTGCCTTCCCTTCACTCTGCTTGCATGCTCTGCTGTTCTCTGCTCTGGGTTTCTCCCCATCTTTCCGCCCCGATTTAACCAACGACTGAGACTGTGCCTCAGACGGTCTACCCCTCAGGGCATTGACCTTTCCCTGCTGCTTGGAGCTGTCCCAAGATTGTCAACCCCTGTGCTGTGAACTTGTGTGTCTTCAATAAATCTTGTTTCACTCACTCTGCATTTGGATCCCTTCCTGTTGACCCTGACAGTTTGTTGCGGTTTCAATGTTTTCTTGTCTTCAATGTGTTCTTGTAAACTCCTGAGTTTCTTCTATTCAAATGTGCTCACCAGAAAAGGAATACATACATTTTTAGCTTTGTGGAACCCTCAGTCTGTCTACCCCTCAGGGCATTGACCTTTCCCTGCTGGTTGGAGCTGTCTCAAGATTGTCAACCCCTGTGCTGTGAACTTGTGTGTCTTCAATAAATCTTGTTTCACTCACTCTGCATTTGGATCCCTTCCTGCTGACCCTGACAGACAATGTTTTCTTGTCTTCAATGTGTTCTTGTAAACTCCTGAGTTTCTTCTATTCAAATGTGCTCACCAGAAAAGGAATACATACATTTTTAGCTTTGTGGAATCAAGGCCATCTTTTCTAGACAATACTCACTGATATCCCAGTCCTGATTGAATGAGGTTAGACCCTTTACTGAATCCCGAGGGTAGAATACTTTCAATATTTGTCTCTATAAAGCAACAAGAAAAATTGTAATGTTTAACAAATATGAAGTGTAAGCAGTGTACAAAATTAACCCTTTCCAAGCATGAAATTTAAACATGAATTGTCACATTTCATTCTTAACATCGAACTGTAAGAATGGCTGGCCAATGCTAAGTAACACGAGCAATTCAAAACAAAGCCATGCGAGCCGTCTATTGAAGATAACATTATTATGTGTATTCTACTTGTACTTCTGTGGATAATTTACCGTTCATCCAGTACGTCTAATCTTAAGATTATTTTTCTTACCCCATTGACTGATATTTTTTCTTGTTTTAAGCAAAAACAAACAAAATTTTGATCTTGACTTTAATATCTTAAATCATTTTGCTTCTCAGGTAAATGTATCTTGAGTCAAGAATATTTAGAAAATGTAATTATGTTGTACTTTTTCTAGTTGATGGTTCCCAACAACACTTTGCCATCATACACACATGCAGGTAAGTAACATACAGTATGAACTTTCTTTTTTCATTGAGTAATGCAAATCCTTTTCATGCTTATTTTCCTCTCTGAAAGGGTCTTCTAGTTTCGTAGAAGTCAACCAGAGTTGCCTTAATGATTCATTAGTGGATGTCAGTGGGCTCTGCACAGGATGGATAGCCCAGACCACTAGCACATCTGCTCTTCAACCTCTGAGTCACTGGACTCCTCCAGACCAACACCACGATCCTGCCATCCCGTCCCACATGGATATGTACGTCCAGCCGATCTGTCCCAGTTACACTGTGGTGGGCCCTTCCCCCATGCTGACGTTACACACACCTTTCTTCACCAACCTTGCGGTGAGCCACAGACTGATGCTAAGCCACTGCTATTATTTAATGTCTGAAGATGTTAACTAGTCCCATATCTGGTTCCCTATTAGACCATGAGTACTTCCAGCTCAGCCCTGCCTCAGGTGGAGGTCCCGGACTCCTCCTTTACGTATATCCCTTGGGCTCAGCCTTTATCCACTATCTCCGGCTCCGTTGTGCAGGGCCCCTCAATGCCAGCGGCCCTGTCAGCCCCCCAGCTCTTCCCAGTGCCTCTGACCTTGCCGGTACTCTCACCAGAACTGGAGCCTCAGCAGGTGGAGACTCCCCCAGCCCCCGAGGGCACTCTGGCCCTTGAGAAACTGCTGGAAGAAGATGAGGGCCAAAAAGAACCCTACATCTGCAACGCCTCGCTGTTTTCAGAAGATATTTAAGATATTCGCATTAGCACTCTTTTTGTGCAGCTTCTTAATATGTAGGATTTGCTAGGGTGATACAGATATTGAGCATTTAGTACAGCATTTTGGCAGCTCTTATGAAAAATGTAATTCAGAAGAAATAACAAATCTGGAAACTACTGTAAAGGGATATATACTCTTAAAAATTAAGTTTTTTTTAGGTTTCTTTATTTCATCTGGTTCCATGAAGAAACTTTAAGAAACTCCATGGATCCTTTCCATTATACAAAACGTTATTTCGATTTATAAAATGTTCTTTACAAAATAAATAAATAAATGTATGTTAAATGAAAGGTTCTTTGGGGAACCAAAAATGGTTCTTCTATGGAATCGCTGCAGCCCTTTTGGAACTTTTATTTTTAAGTTCAGTCAATTCAAGTCGATTTTATTTATATAGCGCTTTACACAATAGAGATTGTTTCAAAGCAGTTTCACAATATTAATCAGGAAACAGAACCAAGAGAATCTATAATGCAAACATCATCAAATATAATCCAAATTATGCTGTAAAGCAGCTCTAACAAAACAATATTGTTTTTATTCAGCTCCAGTAATTTCAGTGTTGATTCAGTTCAGTTCGAAAATTGTGTAAAGTTCATCAATTATGAAACAAGTTCAATTCAGAAAAAAAGTTGGAGAAATCCCCTGTGGATGTTATCATTTTATCTACCCGTGACCTTAACCTGCAGCCTTAGTTGTCTCTCAAGTTAACACCTTTCCTAATGAGATGTTTGAATAAGGGTCTGCTCTGCACACGCTCTACCATCAAATCTGCTTCTTTAGAACTTCTGTACATGACATATCCTGGTCAAACGGGTATGACAATAAAGCGAATGTGCTTTTGCAAGAATTTTAGTGCGTGTGATTTTTTTGTGATGGTGGGGGGTATGTGTGTGAGAACTTGACTGTTTTTCAATTGCTTCCATGTGGTTTTCATTGTTCATAAACAGTGTTTGCCAAACTAAATTGAGTTTACTTTGTGTTGCCAATAATCACAATGCTTCATTAATTCAACACAAAGTCAGCAAAGATGATTAGGATCTAAGCTCAGCAAATCTTTTAAACAAACACTAATCAAACCATGAAACACCATAGAAACAGATGAAAACCAAGGAAACTGACTGAAGATGTAGGAAACTCACTAAAAACTGAGACACAGAACTGTAACATAATACAAACCCTCACTCAGACAGGATACAAACTCAAAAACCCATTACAGCGTGCAGCAATAACCTTGTTTAATTGAACCCAAACACAATCCCACTAACAATAACTTAGATATAGCTTACTTGTATACACATTTTCCCTCTTTTACCAATTGGAACATTCCATTTACATAAAATTAATTCTTGTCTCAATCTGTGAACAAGAGAGAGAGAAAAAAATCAGTTAATATATAATGATGCACTCTAAAAAAAGATGGTTCTTTAAAGGTTCTTTACATGCAGTAATGGTTCTGAAGAACCCTTTCATGCTGAAATGGTTCTTTGTGTTAGAGTTTAGGGTTCTTTTGTTTTTCAAATCTGTAACTCTCATAACTGATTTTCTGGAGTTCAGTGATCCAACTACACAGACTGTCAACACTCTCAACAGGTAAATGATTTCATTCTTAAATTTAAATACAAATTTAACTTTAAAAATTTAACTGGCTTCCAAACAAACATGTTCTTATCTCTCTTTTTTTTAGTTTTTGGTCACATATAAGTGTGTGCAGCTCTGCTAAGCTGTGGAAACTTCTCTTCTCCACTAAGTAGGTAAAAACAACAATGAATTTTAAATTCATATTGTTAGATTTTTTTAATTATTACTTGGGTTTATGTATAAACATACCCAGTCACGATAAATATTAAAACTATCCCATGCCTTTATATTACTTTTTTATTTTTAAGATTGTGAAGGCCTCACATACTGTCAATTTTTGCTTTTGGCCTTCATAAACATAATTGTTTTTACACAAACACATGGACACACTGTAACTCTAAACTCAATTGTGTTTTTCAGATATATCACATCACACAACCTCATCATCTGCAGAGAAAAATCGCTACTTAATCACACCAAAATGATGGACTTAAAGGCAGCATATTGATTGGATTGTGATTGTTTCACTGAAACTTGGTCTTCATCACATCTATTTTTTGTTCTTATTTTGTGTTTTATATATTTATGAATTTATTCATGTTCAAATTTGTCATTAATGTATTCAGCTAATAACTGTTGTTAAGAGCACTGATCATTTTGCATGTCAATAAAAACATAATTCACACAACATGCTGCTGTTGTGGTTATTGTTGTTGTTTTAATGTAAAACCTTAACCGAGGCTACACTCTAAGATGCCTCATTACTGATTTTCTGGAGCTCAGCAATCCAACTACACAGACTGTCAGCACACTCTCAACGGGTAAATAATTTATTTCTTAAAATGTCTATAAATTATAACTTTAAAATGCTAATTGGTTTCCTATGTCTTTTCTCTTTTTAGTTTAAGAGAATATGTAAGTGTGACCAGCTCTATTCAGTTAAGGATACTCTTCACTAAGTAAGTAACAAAGATATTGCATTTTTGGTCCATTTTGTTAGATGGTGTTAGTAAGTTTTGTGCATTGTTGTTATTTTATATTACTAGGGTTTATGCATAAACATACCCAGCTATCCCTTGACTTTATATTACTTTTTCCTTTTAACATTGTGAAGTGCTCACATACTACTTTTGGCCTTCATAAACAACTGTTTTCACATAAACAAATGCGACACATTGTATATCTAAACTCAATTGTGCATTTCAGATGCTGTCATTTCCTGCAACCTCGTCATCTGCAGAGGGAAACTGCAATTCAATCACAAACACTCTCAACAGGTAAATGATTTCATTCTTAAATTTAAATACAAATTTAACTTTAAAAATTTAACTGGCTTCCAAACAAACATGTTCTTATCTCTCTTTTTTTTAGTTTTTGGTCACATATAAGTGTGTGCAGCTCTGCTAAGCTGTGGAAACTTCTCTTCTCCACTAAGTAGGTAAAAACAACAATGAATTTTAAATTCATATTGTTAGATTTTTTTAATTATTACTTGGGTTTATGTATAAACATACCCAGTCACGATAAATATTAAAACTATCCCATGCCTTTATATTACTTTTTTATTTTTAAGATTGTGAAGGCCTCACATACTGTCAATTTTTGCTTTTGGCCTTCATAAACATAATTGTTTTTACACAAACACATGGACACACTGTAACTCTAAACTCAATTGTGTATTTCAGATATATCACATCACACAACCTCATCATCTGCAGAGAAAAATCGCTACTTAATCACACCAAAATGATGGACTTAAAGGCAGCATATTGATTGGATTGTGATTGTTTCACTGAAACTTGGTCTTCATCACATCTATTTTTTGTTCTTATTTTGTGTTTTATATATTTATGAATTTATTCATGTTCAAATTTGTCATTAATGTATTCAGCTAATAACTGTTGTTAAGAGCACTGATCATTTTGCATGTCAATAAAAACATAATTCACACAACATGCTGCTGTTGTGGTTATTGTTGTTGTTTTAATGTAAAACCTTAACCGAGGCTACACTCTAAGATGCCTCATTACTGATTTTCTGGAGCTCAGCAATCCAACTACACAGACTGTCAGCACACTCTCAACGGGTAAATAATTTATTTCTTAAAATGTCTATAAATTATAACTTTAAAATGCTAATTGGTTTCCTATGTCTTTTCTCTTTTTAGTTTAAGAGAATATGTAAGTGTGACCAGCTCTATTCAGTTAAGGATACTCTTCACTAAGTAAGTAACAAAGATATTGCATTTTTGGTCCATTTTGTTAGATGGTGTTAGTAAGTTTTGTGCATTGTTGTTATTTTATATTACTAGGGTTTATGCATAAACATACCCAGCTATCCCTTGACTTTATATTACTTTTTCCTTTTAACATTGTGAAGTGCTCACATACTACTTTTGGCCTTCATAAACAACTGTTTTCACATAAACAAATGCGACACATTGTATATCTAAACTCAATTGTGCATTTCAGATGCTGTCATTTCCTGCAACCTCGTCATCTGCAGAGGGAAACTGCAATTCAATCACAACAAAATACAGATAATGATTAACTTAAAGGCATCATAGAGGATTGTGAAGATATTTCACTGGAGCTTCATCTTCAATACACTATTTTATGTTCTATTTTGTTTTATTTCTTTAAGCATTTATTTATGATCAATGTCCATTGTCATTCATTAATGTATTCTGCTATTGACTGTTGTTAAAACACTGTCATTTTTGCTACAATTTCACGTCATTAAAAAAGTACCTAATTGACACATGGTTGTTGTTGTTGATTTTATGTAAAACCCTAAGAGACACTTCAAGATATTATAAGACCAGGCAGATAGAGGGGTAAAAACAATATTAATAAATAATATATACAAATAATACTAATATTAATGATATTAACATACTAATATTAATGAAAAACTATCATTAAAAAGGTTATTTATAACATCAATAAGATCCTATATAGCATTTTCAAAGCATGGTTCTATATGGAACCCTATAAAAAAGGTTCTATTTAGCACTAAAAAGGGTTCTGCTATTGTTACAAGCCGAAGAACCCTTTTCTGGTACTGTTTAGAACCATTTTTCTTAAGAGTGATAACCCACTGAAATTAATGCTTCCCACCAGGTGCGATTTTGTAAAGGCTGCCTCCAGTCTGCTAAAACAGGAAATATAAAAAAGCAAGCTCCTAATAAACATTAAAAGTGAGATATAAATAAAATAAATACGAACCCATTAAAATACAGTAATGGAAGGCTGCTCCACAGTCTCTCCATCACATATTGCTCTCCTGTGTCTCATAACTGATCATGAAGTATCTCATTTTAATATGCGCACATTCAAATCACATGGCTGAGATTTGAAATGTACAACAGAGTGAAAGATTTTCAGTGGTTCCAATTTATGGTCTGCTCCTAG